CCCACCCACACCCCCACCCACCCCCACACCCACACCCCCTCCCACCCCCACACCCACACCCACACTCCCACCCATACCCACACCCACACCCCATACCGCAAAGTAGCCGAGAGGCGGGGTATTCTTCTTCTTATTTAATCGTCAATATGAAAGAATAGATATTCATCTCGAAGATATATATCATTATGTATAAAATGTGCTATATGTATAATGATTATTTATTATTTAAATAGATAAATTGGTTTTAAATATAATATATGGTCTGAGAAATCTTTTGATGATGAATATCATTTATCAATGATACATATTGATCCAATTAAAAAATAGAAAAAAATCCTGAAAATATATTAGGGTCAACAAAAAATATTCTTTCGGATCAATTTATAATTGATAATAAATATTTATGTGGTCATTGAATTGATTCTGAAATAATTATTCAACTACATTTAATTATTTTAGTTAAATCAACAATTGAAAATTTAAAACAAAGACAAGCTATTAGAATGACATGCGGACAAAAAGCTTATTTATTAGTTCGAAATATTCAATTAGCTTTTGCTTTAGGTAAAAGATTTATATTATTTTTTGACCAAAATTAATTAGAATATAAGAATAAATGAGATTTTTCTTTAGAATATTTTTCACAAAAAGAAAGCTTTTGATGAATAATTACATAGAATTAATGACTATCTATGCACATTAATATATATATACATAGACAAATAGTTAAATAAAATAATTTTTTTTCGAATATGTAAAGTTTAACAATAGGAACACTCATATTGTCCATAGTTTCTAATTCTAAACATTCATCTAATAATTGTGAAACAATATGTTGTAATATATTCGATAATATTTTATTTGAAAAAACAAATGTCGCAAGTTGTTGATTATTTATAACATCCCAAATACCATAACAAGCAAGTATGATATATGCAACTGATGATTGTTTTGAATATTGAATTATATCAGGTAATGCTGGTATAATATGTTTATCTATTGAATAATCATCTAATGCACGACTAACAGCTAGTTGATTTTCAACATGTGGTATATCATCTTTATATTTTGTTACTCTTCCACCAGTTTGATGTATACCTTCTTCTTCTTGTCGTACATTTGGTTTATGATCTTTTTATTAGAAAATTTTCACTTTTTTTTTGTTTTATCAATTAATATGATTTTAATTACGTTTATTAATTTAAAAATTTACAAACAAAGTCTATGTATGTTCAAGCTATTATTTTTCATGTTAATGTCATTTTAATTATCTTGATCATTGAAAAATAATATAGGATTTGAGGACATAAAGATATCTTCAAAATACAGGACTTGAGGGCCTAAGAGTACCTCTATAATATAGGGCTTGAGGGTCTAAGGATATCTCCAAAAAAAGTGAATGAGACAGATGAGTCGTTCTAGAATGTGGGGACATAAAAATTATCCTGGCAAACCTTGTCTATAAACACTTGATTTCTATTGGCTACTGCTCAACCAATAGGATTTGGAGCTGAATACAGCTCAGATTTGAACTCTTCACCTTGATTTACTCTAAGAAAGTCGTTTTTCCTATAACTTGATTTCTATTGGTTACTGTTCAACCAATGGGATTTCGAGGCGAATGGAGCACAGATTCGAGTTGTCCATCCCAGAAAACCTCGAACTATCATCTCTGTGATCGGAAGATAGAGCTCTAATTGTGGATCAATTAGAGCGTGGACAAAAACAGAACCGAATTCTGTTTCATTATCTTTGCAATGGCTGAGTTGGCTTTCTTGTTTCCTTATGTTTCATATACCATTTTGTAGCTCGTGAAATTCTCTATCGAATGATATATAGTAGTTGGGGTTTTATTCGACTATGATAGGAAAAGTTGTTCACGAAAGTGGGAAGGGGTCGATTTTTCCATAGGAAGCTATAGGGAAAAGTGGGTATTTTTGCAATAACTCAGGAACGGCTCGGTCGATCCTTCTCATCTTCGAACTCGACCGAGATATTGTTAAGACTGAACTGTGTAGAAAATTTCATCGAGATTGAACTCTCCTTTCAAAAGTTATCGTGTAAACGGACGGACGGCCGGACACACTGACCGATTCTAGAGTGTACTCACTTTTTGAGTACACAAAAGCAGGTCACATTCGTTACAAGGGTTAAAAATTGAGTCTTGAGATGTTATTTTCAACAAAAAACAAAATCTAATGAAGCTAAAGATTATATGTATTTCAAATTTATCAGTAATCTTCCAAACATTCGCAGTATAGAATTCCAGGAATCGTTATAAAAATGGGTACAGATGGCTTGAGAACTTGAGAGGACAATTTTAATTTCATATTCACATAAAAACAGTTGTCATTTAGGTTTTTACGTAATTAGTACTAGGATTCTTGGAACTTTGATCAATGGACTGTTTTGTTTGCAAGTATCCCGTTACATTTTATTTGCAGCATTCGAACAGAATTTTATTTTTGTCTAACTACAATGGAGTACACTCAAGTGTTCGCAATAATTGCACTATTGGCTAGAAGAGAGCCCTAGATCGAAAGCGTGTCGGGATTTCGGAGATCTCGCCATCAATTCCAGCGAAGTGTTGTTCAGCTGCTTTGTCACGCAAGACGTGTTGAGTACCCCAACCCCGCCTGAGATCTTCCATTTTGAAATTCTGTTGACTTTTCCAACTGGTACGCTTCATATAAAAATCATGATCCATTCTTTGTAAGTGAAACATGATCAAATTTTCATCCCTAAATTGTAAAAGAAGCCTTGAATTCAATAGGAAGAAGGAAAAAAAACAGGTCTAACTTTGTAGCAGGTTCTTTACAGGTATGAAAACCTACAGCCCAATGTAGAGATCGGCTTGTCAATAGAGGTTTATCGTAAGCTGGGTGTCGCATCCAATATAATCGTTGTTGAAGAATTGATCCATTCAGTTTAAGCTTTGGTTCGAAAGTCACATTGTGACGAATGTCATACGCTTTGACACGAACAACCGAAAAATTTGTTCTTTTTATATAATCGATTAAGCCCAACGGATATATGGCAGGATCAGGAACAACTATTTCATCGACTTCACAAAACAAAACATATTTATATCCATTGTCGAGCAAATCCTGTACCTTCTTTTGAACAGTATCAACTAACCAAAGGTGATCAAAATACTTTTCTGAGTGAACATGAATAACATTCACTGATAGATTCGATGTCGAGCCATCAGTACTATCGTTGTCCAAAATATAAATATCCTCATCAGCAAAATAACGACGGTAGTATGTTAACCAAATAGACAAGTATACACCCTCACTGCGACAAATAGTCAACACTGCAATGCGATATTCGTTATTTTTTTTTCGAGCGTGTCGACTAGGTCTGAAACTAAGTTTACCATTTTGTAGTCGATGCCAAATATCAATCCAAATTTCCATGGCTGCAGCCAGTCGATTAAAGTATTTATTTAAGTCACTCAGTTTTTCACGAATCATTTGGGCCAGTTCTAAGTAGCACGATTCTGGAGTTTTAGCAGATGATGAGAATCGCACGTTTTGAAAGAAATCAATAATATCTTCTTGCCAGAACAGTCCCATATATTCCTTTTTAAGATTAGTGAATGGATTTGATGCGTTGTTACGTTGAATATAAGGTGCTCCTGTTTTGACACCAAGACCAAGATGATCCGCTACTACTTTACTTGCCCATCCAGCAAACATATCATCGTATCGTCCCCATGGCATACCAGAACCCATAAGACCTTGCATGAAAGCTGGTCCAATAAACTTGCGATTGAAAGCCACATTCATAGACCACATAGGATAGAGAATACCTGCTGGAACTGTTATAGTTACATCGGCAAGAATTGTATTACGTTCTTCAAGTTTCAATAATTGTGTAGGCGCATCGTAATCTGGAGCATTAAGCCAAATTCCATGGGAAATAGCGGTAGGTATGCCTCTTCTCAAACTAAATGGATATCCACGAACAAAATCGGAACCTTCACGAAAAGGATCATATAGAGTATTAAAAAAATAGGGAGTTGAGTTAGTAACAAGATTTTGAATGTGCCTTTGTATGGCATTGATGTTATTTCCATTTGCATCCTGAGCTGGCAGACAGTCATCACCAAGTGTATAGATGAAGGTTTTATTGGAAACAAGAAAGCCAAAGTTTCGAATCGATACATCTTGCGAGCTGATAATCCATTGGTTTTCCTTTCCCAAAGACGCTTCTATGTCACGTCTGTTATACAGTTCATAGTCAGCCCACAATGGAATTCGTAAAAACTTGTCTGGATCACCATCTTGTATGATAATTAAATGAAAGTGTTCAAGAAAGGGCTTCCAAGCGTTGAGAAAGTCAAGATCATGTATAGATGATATCACAATATCAACTTCATTATAATAGTCGCTCAAATCAAATTGTCTCGCTTTCCTTATAAAATTAAATTGATTCATGCAATCTGTATGGATGAAATTCGAGGTTGTAGAGTTCCAACCACATTCTTTCTCCATGCGTTCAACGGCTAATATAAAAATATTTATCATCGAATAGATCGAAAGAAAACAATACCGACTTTTTCTTATTAGAAAACATAATGATGTAGACATTTTTGTTTTCGTTTAATTTCTCCTTTCATAATGTTGACAGTCACACATGAAGCCAAAAAATGCTATAAATTCCACAGAAAAGCCTACTATAGAGAAGATACTTCGAAGATTTCAGTTTCTCCTGACTAAATTCTCACTTCCTTTAACCTCGAACAAACTATTAAATACCACATACATTCAATCGAATCACATTTCTCTTAAGAAAGCATCTAAGAGAAGATCAATTATCACAACAGCATGAAACATACATACAAGAAATTGTAATAACAATTCAATAGAGAAAAATCAATAAACTATTAAAGGTTGTAAAGTGACGTCACCTCTCTTATATATTTCTTTCTTTCTATTGCTGCTGTGACGTCAACATATATGTGTATTCCGTCTAAATCTTTTAAAACACTTTTCGGTTGTTCTCAAGAAGCTGTGCTGTACAGTAAAAGTTTTAAAGCAAACTATGCTCTAAATTTTTGTATACTACGCAAGTTTATCTATAATATCAATGACTCGCACGAACTTGGATATATCTGAAGATCCGCATCTCAGATCTGAGATCATGAATAATATTTTTGTTGATTTTCCTAGAAAGTGATCACGTGGACGTTTCTTTCCAAACGTACCACAGTGGTTTCAAACGTTAGAACAAACAAAGATGATAAAATATCTATGATATACTTAAAACAGATGTTGAGAATGTTGAAGGAAGGAAAGAGATTACAATTGATCTCCTACTGGTGCAAAAGTCATCGATCTTGTATATGATTGTTCATTTGAATTCTATTCTAGATTCTTTGTAATTTATATCTGTTACTTTGCATCATTAGAAATAATCGCAGTGGAAATAACCTTACGCACGATCGTTTTGAAAAAGAGCTAGCTCGACGAAAATATTATGAATGCTAAAAAAAAATGAAACATGACAGTTTTTGCAACAAGTATTTGACGAAAACTATAGATTTAACTTAAAAATCCCTTTTCAAGATGCAAATGAAACTGTAGGAAGCTTAATTACAGTTATACAAATAAATATCGAGTATTTCACAAACTTCAAGTACCTGTTGCAGCACCATAAGACATAGTAGTATAAGTATCTACACCTCCATATTTGTTTAATAAAGAAGAGCGTATTGCTTTTGGAATTCCTGGCCCAGTTGTTCCAGGGACACTATTTATGTCGTCAAAATATTCTAAACTGGTTGCACTTAATTTTGTTTTCATATAGCGTAGTATGCCATTTGTTTCTACAACAGCAGAATTTGAAAATATGTAAGGATTATGAACCTTCTTTAAGTAAGGGTAGACGACAGTAACAGTAATCAATGCAAAGACAAGGAGATATAGTGAACGTAGTTTCCATGTCTTTGAAACGCTCTCATTTACTGTTTCAAATGGAGCAGAATTAGATGCCATCTAAAAGAAATTCAATATAGAAGTGTTTCTGAAACTGAATCATTCTTATTACACATTCTAAGAGAAATGAAGATTACAGAGAAGTACGTCCATCAACATTTAAAAAGCAAAGATGCAAGAACTGAAACATTGAACGAAATTTTCATTGTTTTTGCTTTCATTTCTTCGTAAGTCAGTTTATAGTAGAGATATCAATATCTGATTTTTTCTCTCGCGAATATAAGTTCCTATACGAGATAAGTTGTTGAAAATCTAAAAAATCGTATTAACTCGATATGAATAGTACTTGTATGAAATTGAAACACACTGCAGATTCCAATATCTGACACGTTGTTCAGAGCTCCTATTCCAAAGATTGACAATAGTGACTATATTCGACGAGGAAGGGTGTGACTTTCGAACTTCAAAAAATACTCTTAAATAAACTAATTCAAGTAAATAATCTAAAGGTTAGTTTTGTTTCTATTCATTCTTTTTCAGAATGTCTTATCAACATGACCTTTTTACCAACAGTAGATCAAAGCATCTTCTATGTACCAACGATAGAATCTCTAAAATAGTATTAACTAGAGAAAATTTATACAAAAAATAGCGAGATGTTAATTAACCTGATCTGAGCTATTAGATATGATGTGATTCCGATCAATCAGTCAATGTAGTCTTAGCGGTTGCAATTACTCTAGCAAAAATGCTAAAGACCCATTTTCCAATCTTTTAACTCATGTTTTTACTAGTGATTATAAAATAAAAATATGTAATACGATTCAATTACTCAAAATGTCTTCTAAGTAAGCTGAAAAATTCCTGTGAATGAACGAAGCACAGTAATGCAGTAATTGAAGCAGTGATGTCTCCATCGATCGTTTTTTCAAAGGTAAAAGTGGTTTCCGCATCAGCATATTTCAGATCAGCTAAATATAGAGATCAAACATTATACTATTTAAGACAACGACCAGGAAATATATTTGTTCTTGGTAAACTATTACTCTGTTCTCTCTAATGCTTCAAACTTACAATAAGCTCTAGAAATAAAAAGAAATATGTTTCAGATAGCGTGTAGGTATGGATGTGTTACGTGTTTGTGAGAGTGACTGCATAGTGCAGAACAACATCTACGCCAGAAATCTGCAGTCATGGCCTTTTGGTTTGATAAATCCTTATAATCTTTCAGTACTTTACTCAATATTTCCGTTAGATCCTATGCTGTTGGCTTATTAATTTGATCAATGAGTTCTTCGAGATTATTTTAAATAACGTCTGTGGAATTGATGTTCACATTACACGTTGCTTTTTTTATTCTACAACATATTTTGGTTATAAACCCTCATCTTTACATGACTATCTTTTCTGCCAATGCAATCTGGACGTTTTTCTATATAGCGACCATAGGTGTTTGTCATATATATATCTTCGCCAAGTGCATGTCGAACTCAATAAACGGATCGTTTCGATCAACATCTTTCCCAGTACTCATATGTAAAAAGACTTTCTTAATACGTCTCAACATAGATAAATTATTGGTTCTTCGTTGAGTTCAGCGACTGACTGTTTGATATCATTAAATAATTCGAGTGGCAAAGAATCTTCGTTGACAATTTCGACATATGAATGTGGGCTGGCAGAAGTATTTTGTATGTCGTTCTATGGTGACTTCCCTGATGAAGATTCAGACAGTCATCAGTAATCAAAAATCATTCGAAGGCATTATGACATTGGGTTCGTATGAACGAGAAGAAGCAACGTTTTTACTTCTGTATTTATCTGGTGTCTGTTCTGGTTTAATAATGTTGTGTTATTTGTTATTTGTACCATTTCCGGTTGAATCAATCATGTATGACTTTCATCACCATCTGCATTGTGAATGATTTGTACAATGCACACAGCTCTTTAAAAAAACGAGCTGAAATAAAAAAAAAGGAGTATCTTTAAAGAAATCTATACACTTTTGTTTTTAATTATGTCACTATGTATCGACGAAAGAAATAAAAACGTATAAAAAGAAGACGGATTTTTTCGATTAATAAAAATTTTGTTTGCACATGAGAATAAATCAACGACGAACTTTCAAGGTCGTCGTTACGAAAATTTACTCCTTCTATTTTTACTTGCTTTCTTTTTCTCGTCATTTGAAGCAAAATTTATTCGTTGTCGACCATACAAAAATCACATGGCAATGTGCATGAACTCATTTATTTGAAGAAAAACAATAGAACAAAAATAAATATTCCAATAGACGATTGAGGAGTTAATTTCCTGCTATATCCATTCAAGTAATGAAAATAAATATGATGGTTGTTCTCTGATGACTTTCACTTTTTTTAACAATGGCTGTGCTCATGTTTTCCCTTTCGAAAATGATGTCATCGTATTTCAACAGTTGCAAATTAGTCAGCATTAGCAGAATTCAAGAATTTTGCTCGTTCTTTAAATAATCATACAGACTAGTGTGATTTATCATATACTATTATATATATGTATCGAAACCAGAATTCTGATCAACAAGTATGATTTAGTTTCATTCTGTTAGTCATGCTACATAAATAAAAGAAGAATGACAACAAGAAAATTTATTGAATACGAAAAAATAAATATTCATGTTTGCTTTTTCTCTATCAATAGTTTATATTTATTATTCGATGAAATACTCTTTAGATTATATTGCCTATGAATTATTTTTCCTATGTACTCTTATTTATATACTATTATATATTAGTATCATATACATACATGTCTTTTAAATGATTTTGCTAATATTCATCATACAAATATATATATATGTATATATATCGTATCGAAGTTCCACCTTCGAAAGAGAAGATGTGGGTGTGGATGTAGGGTGTGGGTGCCTACAGCCATTTTCACACCTACACCCACAACCACACCCACCCACACCCACACCCACACCCACACCCACACCCACACTCACACCTACACCCTCAGTTCTGTGAAGTGTAATCTGTTACTGTCTTAATGGAGATGCACATGCAATACTTAGTGGATAAAAGAACAAAAGAAAGCAGAATTCTTTTGATTCTACTTGTTTCATTGCCAACATAAGCCGAGGCCATTCTCCGAAAATCCAGATGGATCACAGTCGTGATTGAAATTGAATGCTTCAAGAAAATAAACAAGAGGCTATATGCATAGGGTCTCAACGACACATACAAAAGTGGTCTACGATTTTGATTAAACTTTCAGTGTTAGTAGAGAATTCAATTCTAAACATTTTGGTAAGAAACGTTTTTTATAAAGCGTTTGTTTTGGAAGAGATCAGCTCGAAATACTAAAAGTCTTAGAAGCCCAACAGCGAATTCTAATACCATATTCGTATTCCTCCTGATGAGATGCATCTAGCGACACTAAACTCAATGGAGATTTCGAAAAAAACGGTCTTTTTTCTTTTTATAAAGATGCAACAGGCAGCAACAGATTTATGTGTCATGATATTTTTGCATTGAGAGAAAGAATAGTTCGCGTTCTCACAGCCGATTTCGATAGTTTCTGAAAATATTGTTCGTGTAAAATATGTAGAGACGTCTTTCGNTGAAGAAAGATTCAGCACCTTACCCGGCGTTATCATTTCGTTCCTGTATTTTGTGTCCACTTAACATGAGTCAGACCTACTTGTTGGTCTTGATAGAAATAATTGCAAAGGAGAACACGTGGTAACCGATAAAGGTGTTTTTTTTAAAGCAAACACATACGTAAAGAACATCGACAAACAACTGCTGCACACAGAAAAATAAGAGCATTTTATGGGCCAGCTTTTTATGCTCGTTATTTCATTGTGAAGATGTAGGCATGCCTTTTGTCTCTAGGTAGACTCGTCTATTGGCAATCGCTTGGAGATAAAATGGCACAATTAAAATCGTTCACCACTGATGAATTCCACGCGTACGCTGATGATGTAATTACTCATCCTTGACAAATTTATTCAAACGCATCAGAGAAATGTAAATAAAAAAATTATCGGTCGAAGTATGTGACATTTTTCACTAGACTAAGAGTTTTATAGTAGTTTTGCATTATCTAACTAAAAGGACGAAGTAAGTAGTGGAAAGCGAGATGACATAAATTATCGCTTTGTAATGTTCCTCGTCGGATCTTCATATAACAAAGGAGTTCAGATCAATTGAAGACATGTGAGAGCTAGACCGAACGATTGTCAACTGTTAGTTAGATATGAATTGAAGCCCTATATTGAATAACTGCATGTTGGCACTTGCTTAGACCCCGCTTGGGAGAATTTTTCATGAATACGCTTCCATCTAAAAGATGTATTAAACCAGAAGAGCTCATTCCGTTACAAGACTTGACAGCTTTCTGTTCTAGATGAACCAACAACTGAGTCTCGTAACTCGTACTATCTGGCTACTTTTGAACATTCTATTTGGTGCTGGCTTCGCAACCATACTTTTCTTTTGGGCAGCTTGTGACATGGAAATGCCGCTGCTGGTTACCAACTTTTTCTCGGATTATCTGCCAATTTTGACTCCACTTTTTCGAATGCCCTATATGAAAATCACCTGTCTATCATCATCCATTATGGGAAAATTGACATTCAACGCTGTACTTTATACCATCTTTGGCACTGCACATACAGTGTTTGCACAAGAAAACGTGCAAACGATACTCGCTCGATACTTGTTGCCCAAACAGACACTTCGCACCGCTTATTGTATCATGGTTAGTGTCACTGTCTTCTTGATCATAGGTCTTTGGCAACATACTCATGTGCAACTATGGAATTGGTTTCCGTCAACGATGAGTATCTATCAGCAACAGTTTGTATTGTTGACAGTATTTAACATCATTATTGCTCCAGGTTATTCTATTAAAGCGTATTCTTTTCCCATCACTATACTTCAATTTTTTTATCAGGCTGGTATGTGATCATCAAATTTAATCTGTTCGAATTTGTTGGCATCAAACAATTGTTCAGCCAAACTGGAGCTGTCAATTGTCCATTTTCTACTACCACGTCACAGCAACGAACCACA